CATTTCCAATTATTTCAATACATTGTGACAGTCAAGCAGCTATTTTAAGAGCTCAAAATTCATCCTACAATGGAAAGTCTAGACATATTCGTAGGAGGCACAATACTGTGCGTCAGCTGCTTAAGGATGAGATTATAGCTATTGACTATGTGAAGTCAAGTGATAACATTGCTGACCCATTAACCAAAGGATTGGCTGGAGAGCTAATTCAACAAACATCGAGGGGGATGGGGCTAAAGCCTATTACTTATTAGATCACCTATAATGGATAACCCAACCTTGCAATTAGAGATCCCATGGTCAAGGTTCAATGGAACAACAAAGTTATTGGAGTGGTCTGTGGGGGTACTACATTGGATTTATTCCAAACCCCTCCCTGTGATGCGTAGTACCAACTGTATTGATTTGAGGATGAGCTAATGCTCTTAATGCTTACTATAGTTGATATTCAGTGGGGTGTTTAGATACAGTGCACCCTTGATAGAAGCACCTATTTGAGTATGGAAGTGGGGCCGCTTCCTATGAGAATTGAGGCGAATTCTCTAGAGCACTCAAAGAAACTGGGAAAGTTCACGGCCGAAATGAACACAACCGCGAGAACTCAATGATTGTTCTAGAAATCATGTGTGTGTTCTATTGTCTCAGTTTGCAATTATAATTGTAGAGTTCAAGACATAGTTCACTCTACAGTTAGTAAGCTCGATAGAACATACAAAGCCAAGGTTCAAGTCGATAGACACCTAAGCCTGCATGATTTCTACCGTACTCCAGAGTAATATTTTCATTTATCTTATTTCTTTCATGTGGGGGGTTGTTATATATTTATGGCATAAATATAAAATGTGAAAGAAATAATCAAATTAGATAAAGTGTCAAAGTAGTGGGAAATGTGGCATTTGTATGGGACGTCGGGGGTTCGAGTCACTTCCCACATAGATATTAAAATGTCTTGATTGGGGCCTTGAGGCATTTGGGCTCTTGGGCTTCCTTAACTAAAATAAATGATTTTTTTATTATTATTTAATGGGTAAAACTAGCCATTATTTTTCTGACTGTTTGTTTTGTAACAACCCACTAACAGTCATTAAAATATCCACTACTCAGTCATTAAAATTCTGCATTACTCTTTGAACATGGTGGAGATTGTTACCTCCATCTTGCCTATATAAACTCATACCTCGTTTTGGGAAAAACACACATAAAAAATATCTTGCATCAATCCTTCATTTTCATATTCTGAATTTCTTATACTCCGATTTTTACATATATTCTAGAGTACAATTGAGAGTTATGGAAAAATCATTCGTGATTGATGCACAAGTGGTTTACGATCCTTGTATTCTGTGAGTGATTGTCCACAGAGGTCGCAGCAATTATCGACGGGCAATTTCACTTTAAGACATCGTGCTATCACGAGACTCGATCGGACGATTAGTTTTATATTTCTGCATTATATTGTTCTGAACATTACTGCAACTAATTATTTTTCCAAAAATTTGCTCTTAATGCTGAGAATTTGTGGTTGATTATTTCGGTAAGGGAAAAGCCAGAAAGTTCAAAATTTCAAGATCACTTGACAGTTAATTTTGACTCCGATAATTATGATCGTGATACTGATCCTAAAGTACAGAGAACGAAGTAGGTTCAAATTTTTCCCTTATGATATGCATTTATATTAGGGAAACATCACAATTCATAAATCAAGATTGATGTTTATTTATTCACAATTCAGGTATTATAATTAATTAACTATTCAATCTCATCCCATTCCCATTCCCACACGCACACCCCCATCCCCACTCCCTCGCCATCCCTAATTTCAGACATAAATCTCTCTTTCTCTGCATTCTCCTCTCCATTGCAACAAATCAATTGTCTTGCATCAACACCACTGCAACAGGATCGGCGTCTCTATAAGAGTGCAGCCTATTGCCGATCTATGTTCCCAGGTGGCCACACAACCTCTGTCCAGTTCGCGTGACCACTGCGTGCGGTTATGCATAGATCGACGATGGTGGTGGTTGGAGTAGCATTTAGATAGCAATTGCCGCTACACGTGGCTTCTCTCTCAATGTCGCTGCAGTGCGCTCAGATCGATGGTGGTGGTTGAAGCGGCGCTCAGATTAGCTTCTCTCGCAACGCAATTGCAGTATCTCCGCTGGATTTTTTATGTTGTTGAACTTATGGTTTCCACATTTTGGTAGCGTAGGGGTTTTAGCATGGTTGGATGGTGGTGGATTTGGCGGTGGTGGTGAGTTGTTGGTTAGGTTGGTTTTATTTATTTATTTATTTATTATTATTATTTTTTACTGGTTGTTGGATTTGGCAGTGCTGTGGATCTAGGTAGGATACAAGCGATAATGGTGGCAACTGGTGCAGTCTGTTTGTGGTGGTATGTGCGGTGGTGTTGCTGATGAGATATGGTTATGGGAGTGTTGCAAAATGATGGCGGTGACGACGATATTGGTGATGGCGATGGTAGTGGTGGTGCGTTTTTATTGGAGTGGGTTGGCATTTGTGACCTGTTGACCTATTAAATACTTAATATGTGAGCAGTTGGGGGTGGAGGTGGTTGGAGATTCAATAGTTGTGGTTGTGGTATTTTTGTTGACAGTGGATTGGATCTAGTGGTGGCTTTGTTGGTGGTGGTGTTGTGGTGATATTGTGGGGGTGGCGATGATGGTTGTGTAAGGGTGGTCGATAGTATGTGACCTACTATTTGGTGGTATGTGACTAAGTATTTAGTTATCTGCGACCAAGTATTTAATTGTGACTTAAAAATTTGATAATATGTGACTGAAAAATAATATGTGACCAACATATTTGAAAATATGTGACCGATAAATAAATTGTGACCTATAATTTTTTTGATATGTGATTTCAAAATAATCTGTGACCAATAAAATTTTCGATTTGTGACCAATTAATTTGATAATATGTGACCAATAAATAAGTTGTGACTTATAATTACGTTCATGTGACTATTCATTGTATAAATGTGACCTCATTATATTTAATTAATAAATATTTTTAATTAATTAGCTGAAACCTGATTTTTGCATTAGTTAAACTTAAAACTCGATGTTTGAATTGTGTATAGTTAAAAGATGATTTGTGAATTTTTCCCTTTATATTATCAACTGTAATATGCATTGGAGTCCATGAAGCGATGATGCGGATGGAAAGCCCACTCAATCAAAAGGTAGGGAGATGTGAACTTTCACCCGACAATTAGAACAACATCTTAATGATAGAAAGTGCTCAGATAAATGCTTGAATTCTCTGTTCGAAACAAATATTAAACAACACTTATGCTCTATTGTTTTCTGGATTGTCTTTCAATAATTTTGTGAATTAGTTATGTTACTCATTGCTCTATTAAAGGAGGAAAAATATGCATAATCTTTTTGTTTCTAATCTCTTGGTAGACTCTTGCTTCATCATGGAAACCACCTCGCAAAATTGGGTATATTGTTGGGGTTCGATGAGGAAATAAGGCAAGTTCAATAATCTCTGAGTACTTACTTCATTTCCATTCCTAATTCTATTTGTACAACAATATTCCCTGCTTATGGTTTCTTTTCAAAGTTCGACTGATTTTAAGCATTCACAATACCGTTTTGTTTCATGCAGTTGCACCTCAATCCTGTTAATTGTTTTGTGCAACACCGACCATCAATGCAACATCTCAAGTCTAGGGAATCTAAAAATAGGAAGACTGAAACTTGTAGTTTTGATGAAACTGTTAAGGTTCAACATTCCATAGAAGGAAAACCATTCCACCCATCAAAGAAGCAGGTTGTTTTTCCATTTCTTGACCTGGTTGTTGCTAAATTTATTTCTTGGAGCCATGCTACACGTACACCTTGATTCACATTCCTATGTGTTGGCAAATTTGAGTACATTGATTTTAAAAATACTTTGAAAATCTCTTTTGTATGTTCATGTCCACAGTCCACTAGACCTCACTCCCAACATCTCTACTTGCCATTCTACATTTTCTTCATTGTACGTAATACATGTTAAAACCCATGTATACAAGTATGGCTTATAACAGTTCTCATGTTTTGCTTCATATTACTACCACCAACGTAAGTACCTGCGGACAAATATTTTATATAATCCAATGTAATCATCATTGAAAATAGGTTTCATTCTTCATTCAAATACTGCATGACCAAATTATAACATGATTACTTACATTACATCACCCACTACACGTGCAATGCATGTGCCTTCACTAGTATTTAGAAAAAATAAAATAATTTGGCTTATTTAAAATAAATAAATTTAAAAAATGAGGAAATTTTGATTCTTCAATTTTTGATCTAGAATAAAAAATCGAACCAAACCCGTCGGTTCTCGATTCAGATACATGTTCGAGTATTTATATTAAGAATAACCGCTCGGTTCGATTTGAGAGTTTTGTCCAGTCCTAGCTGTAATTCAAATGAAAAGTGAAACTCAATCAACCGAAGTTCAGTGGCATAAGGCGCACAGAATACACCATCCAAAATGGTTATAAGTGCATGCTGAAGTCTGCAAATGTTAGTCTTCTTTATGGCTGGTGACAATAAAATTATACCAACGATAATTGACAAAACAACATAAAAAGCACTCCACGCACACGAACCAATCAATTCCAATAAACTTGGGCATGGTTCGAATTGGGTGGGGTTTGAGTTCAACCCAAAGCCAAAATCGTCGATTTTGGATAAATTCCAACCCAGACATTGGTCTGAGTTAAAAAAATTTGCCTATCTATTTTAGGTTAAAAATTTTGTTTTCCTATATATATATATATATTTTTTATTTTGCTTGTGTAGTGCATATCAATAATATAAATGGTAAATGGTTGATTTTCCTAAAATTATTCTATATATCTGATAGTTACCAACATATTTCTTGGTTCAAGCCCAACCCAAACCAACCTGATTCAGTTTGATTTGATCGATTTTTCGATTTTTGCCCACCTAAATTCCAGAATGCAAAAATCTATATAACCGTTCTCACATAAAAATAATTTATTGATCATATATATCAACATTAGTTGATAAAGAGCACATTACAACTTCACTGTATGAACAGAAGCAACTTTGTACCCCACATTACAACTTAAGTTAGCTATATTGCACCCTGCCTACGGAAAAAGATGAGCCCAGAAGCTGTCTTTTTCCACTTCCTCAGTATTTAACCTGGATAACAAAAGATCAAGTCAACTCATAGAGATGAAGAAGCGCTTATTCCCCTCATATTCAACTCGCAAAAGTTTTCTTTACCTCGTGATTCCCTTTCTATACGTAATTTCTTCATAAACAAATCACTGAAAGGTCTCCCTGGAACAGGAATAAGCTTCCCAACAATGGCTAAAGGCCAGCTGATGAAGAAAAATAGAAAGCGAAATTTCATACCAGATCTGAGAATAATATGAGAATATCCACATAGTGATGCAGTTATCAACCCAAAAACACGTTTTCAGGATTAATACAACCGCCCATGACTTAATGTGAAGAAATAGTATCTCTAATATCTATTAGTATGTAAGTATTAACAAATACGATAGTCTATCAACTAAAATAAGATGTAAAGTTGAGAAATACCAGCCATAAGTTGTAAGCCAGAATGCCAGGCAATGAGAAACAAACCTGATTATGCCGATCACAACGGAAACAAGCCACAATTTCCAATTGAGTCTAACTGTTGAAGTAAACTTCCCAAGAAAAAATATTATGATAACCTGAATAGCAAGAGTAGATTTATAAATTGCAAGAAATTTTGGGCATCTTGTACAAGAAAGAGCAAGATATGAGAAATAACCTGGAGAACTACTATAAGTCCAACTATTCCCATGAAAAGACGGTTTTTGGTAACCCCTTTCCACACATTGATCTCATCAGGCTTTCTAGCATTCAACACATTGAATATCTGTAATTATAAACAAAAGAAATTAGTTAAAGCACGTGGAAAACAGCAGTTTAAAAATTGGCAAATTAAAAATAAAAGTTCAGAGCAGCTTCAGCAAAATGATTTCAACTAAATTAATATTTAAACTTCAAAACACATCACAGACATCACACAGATTCATGTTCTGCAATATTTTGTTGATAATATCAGCACAACAGACATATGTTAGACAGAGAATCTCAAGCCTTCACTTGCCGGTCAAGTATAACAAAATCATGATCATTATTGTAAAAGCAGACTGAATATTCCAATTAAAAAAACTGCGACATATTAGAACATAGAGAGAGAGAGAGAGAGAGAGAGTATACACTTTGCTCCGTGTAGCAAAAGATTAACACTTTCACGTCCCAATTACCTGACAAAAGACAAATGCATTGAATATCAGTGTATTCTTCACTCTGAAAGCTCGGTCATCCGATTCATCCTCTAAATTCAGAATGCTTCTTCCCCAGAAATCCAGGATTAGGAGAACAGCCACTTGATATAGAGCCTGCAATCACTCAACTGCCAACAATTAGAACGTGGATATTTAATGAAGTATTTTAGTTTCCATCCAAAAATAAAAAACTCAATAATATAGTTAACACAAAAGTTTGATACCTGAATTATTAAGTTCCTCCACATGACATTAGTAATGAGAGGTTCCCTAAAATATAGACACTAATATTTGATCAGCAAATAATTTCAATCTCAGAAAGTGCATAACAGAATTTAATGATACGGACAAAAAATAAAAGGCATCTCTACACCATGGTGCTTTCACTCTTAAGGTGGAGCCTAGTACAAGGGAATGGGGAAGTAAGAGTGGCGCAGTTAGAAAACAAGAAAAGCCACAACCATGACAATCAAACAATCAAACAATAAAGCACGATAAAGCAAGATCAAATTTCGAACAGAACACTTTTTCTGTTATTTATTAAATCAAACGTCCCACCCTACATCTAAATGACAAAGAACATGAAATAATAAAACCCAACTATAAGTCCTGACAGGATGAGGAAAGCAAATCCAACATTTTTAATTGAAAAAGGAAACATAATAACTAAGAGATTGGACAGAATAAGTAAAATACTCATAGCAGAATAAGGAAATAAACTAAAGCAGTAGACACTGCGCTTGTCCTGGCCAAGAAGCAAGGCTTGGCCAAGAGGCATCAAGAGACACTATGATGCAGGACTATCCGATTGTAAATAGGATAAAATTTAGATAAATATAATAAGATGTCTAGTTGTAATAGGTTCATCTTCTTATTCTTATTTCTTGTTCAGAATATGATTTCTAATTTCTTTTGGATTGGGATTTATTTTAATTTCCTTATCTTAGTTTTCAAGTATTAGTACAAGTAGGGAATAATTTTGCCTCTATAGAGGCATTGTACACTCTTCAACAATAATCAATTATTATTCAATATATACATAACATGATTGTTCAAATATCGTTTTTATTTATTATATAATTATTATTACCAGAATTTCATAACGCTTTCACACCAAAATTGGTATCAAAGCAAGGAAATTGCCTTAATGATGGTCCTGGAGGTAATTGAACCGTACATGACGAACGGAGGCTCGACAAACTTGAACAAAATTGAAGGGATCGACGAAACCTACACAACATCACGCAAATGTAGACTACGTTGAGTCTTGAAAGGAATCACGAGCTCATGGAGAAGCAAGCTGACAATAATTTGTAAACTTTAACTGCTATGAATGTTAGTTGTTTCAATAAGCATAGAACACGGTAACATGTGACTAGAGAATTTCCTCGAGTCCCAGCCAAGTTCGAAACACACAAGTTATCAAGGATTATTTTCTTTAACAAAACTTGAGGACGAGTTTTTTCAAGTGGGAGAGATTGATGTAGGATAATCCTATTGTAAATAGGATAAAAATTAGATAATTATAATAAGATGTCTAGTTGTAATAAGTTTATCTTTTTATTCTTATTTCATGTTTAAAATAGGATTTCTAGTTTCTTAAAGATTGTGAATTTTTTTAGTTTCCTTATATTAGTTTTCAAGTATTAGTAGAAGTATGGAATAATTTTGCCTATATTTATAGAGGCATTGCACACTTTTCAACAACAATCAATTATTATTCAATGTATACATGACATGATTGTTCAAATATCGTTTTTATTTATTACATAATTCTTATTACAAGAATTTCATAACTCTTCCACACCATGCTCTCAGGTCCCTTCACCTGTTGCATCCTCATCTAGCCTAGAATTATCTACATCAAAGAGTATCAGCATTCCTGGTTTCATTTGAGATCGGAGTTGGTATAATAGATTCCTGAAAGAACACATTTCCATGTGAACCCCCATTTTCAAAATATGGATTTTCTCATTGAAATCAGAAGAATAATTCTGTATTTCTTGGTTTATTTACAATCATATGGCCTCTATATATATTACTACTGATATGATAAAAAAGGAAAAAAAATCTCTTAATTAAGAGAGAAATAAATCACCCTAATTATGGACTATCTATCTAAGGAATAATCTAAATATGATGCAATATATCAAAATAGCAAATCAATCACAATTATCTACACTCATCATCTGTGTCCAACGGTACTTTAACAAATGTATGGCATGGCTCATAACATCTCTATAACAAAGAACAATAACATGAGATTGAGAGGGACAACTCGCATCACCTCCCATCTTTCTTGTATTCTTTAATAACCAATTCAAGCAGCAAAGTGATTGCCAATAATCACTATCAACTAAGGTAATAAATTTATCTACTCTCACTCCCTCATTGTCTCTATTTTCATCTCTCTTGTCACTAAAAACCCTAGTCCAGCATTGACGCACGATCAAAATTTCAACCGACAAAAACGACCACCAAGAATACCTTCATCTCTTTTAGATTTTTTATTTAGAGAAAATAAACTCACGTTCATAGAATGGGCAAGAAAAAAATTGGCATCTGTACTTTTATGAATGTTTTCCTCGTCTTAATCAAAGATTATAATAAGAGAAAGTCACAGGCAAGACTAAATGAATTTACATATTTCAAGTAACAAAGTCAATTATCTGTTTCCCCCCAATTGTTTTAGCTATTTTAATGCCAATAATCTTGCAGTATGAATAACAAGAAAGATCATGAATTTACAGAATTTGAAGTTACAAATTCAATTTATCGGTTTATTTAAGTTTTGTAGTTATTTTAATGCCAATTTCCTTGCAATTTTTGTGGGTCTTGAAATCTTTCTGCATGGGCTTTGCCAATTTTAAGATAATTGAATGACACAACTCCGGTAGGGGTACGAGAAGAATTGCAGAGAATGGAATGATGTGATTGCAAAATATAGTGCCCTCTATGTCAACTATGTTTTCAAGCTATCACAATATGAACAAGTAGCAAAGTTCGTTACATCAGTACTGAAATTCCAGTGCATTCTGTGATAATTATTTCTCCTTTCGTACAGTGGAGGAGGGAAAAAAATGCAGTTCATCACTCAAATAACTGAAACCATATTTTTGCCTTGGTCACATATAAAACAAACTTCAGACCAAAATTGATTCATATATGAAAAGTCTAACCTTCTACCCACAGGAGGCCTATGCATCAGAGGATCAGTAGGAGGTTCCGTTGCTAGTGCTTCAGCCCCTAGTGTATCCATTATAAGATTTACCCAGAGAAGCTGCTCAGAAGACAAAATAGTTATAAAGTTAGTTTTGAACCTAAATGAGAGTTATGGTTAAGAAGTCGTGCCTATAAAGGAAAACAGCAGACAGACAAATACTTGTACTCAAAACATGGGGAGAAAGAGAGATCACAAACCTGCACTGCATTTAACGGGACATTACGAGCAGAAACTGCGGCTACAACATCGATTATAGGAGCTGCAACATTAACAGTGAGCTGAAATTGTATAAATTTCTGAATATTGGCATAAACAGATCTACCAAACCGCACCACCTACACAATTAACATAAAACTATAATCAGCAGTCCCAACTTTAGTCATAACATTTTCAGTTTGTAGACACTTCCACAAGACAGTAAAAATGGAAAGCTATGCAACTATGCCTCAAAAAATAATTGATTTACAACTAGAGCAATCTGAACTACTGCTTTAATAATTTGATTCGGAGATACATTCACTAGACAGTCATAATGAAAATCTACGGCTCCAAAGGTATTTCTGATAGAAATTTGAATTATGTCCAAATAACAGAAGAAACCAATAAAACACCTTAAGAAGACAAAAAAATCATTTAAAAATACTCTCATGAAGTTCTGTTATAACCCTAGCTCAAAGATTACATGCTATGATCAAAGAATCTTAAAATGATGCAAATCCAGAAAACCATAGCTGGTTAAGCTACAAAAATATAAGCCTCGTTCAGATTGAAAATATTAAATTTTGACATTATTTTATGCAAAATTATGAAGGATATACGAAATGAATAACCCCCTTATTTTCATGCTGAACATGCATTGTGCAATTACTAAATCCAAAATATAAATTGCATCGAGGTGACGGTTCTGGTAATACAGACTATCATATATTCTCCTAATAGCATGCTTTTCATTTATTTTGAAGAATCTAGGTGATGGTTCTGGTAATATGCACTATCATATATTCTCCTATTTTGAAGCAACATTCATAAGATGGAAAAACTAGTTTTATGCAATTCTAAGAGCCAAACTAAGGCATTTCTTAAACAGTACATTAACATGCTCACGACACAGACTCACCTTCACTATTGAAGCAAAATTATCATCCAATATAATGATGTCTGAGCTCTCTTTGGCAACTTCTGTTCCATGGATACCCATTGCAAGACCAATATCGGCCTACACCGCAATACAATTACGAAAGAGATTATATGAGCTGGGGAAAAAAAACTGATACGGACATCTATTTACTATTTATTTTCTTTCATTTACTATTTATTTTCTATTTGGACTATTAGTTATATTCTATTTAGATTATTATTTATATTTCTGTTATTGGGCTTGTTTAGCGGGTTTGGCCCAAGCCCTTCTCTTTAGGGTTTTTGTTTTGTTATTTATTTCTGTTTTGTTGCGTATTTGAGACAGTTGATGAATTAATGAATTAAAGAATAGAATGCTTGGGTTGTTGCCTATGGCTTCCTCCTTCTTCCCTTTCCCCTGATTTCTACTTCTTCTCTGGTTTTCTCCCCCCTTTCTCTCCGGCCCTTTCCCCCTTCTTGCTGCCTTCTTCTTCTTCTTGCTAGAATTCTACTTGCTAGTTGTGCTATTTTGCTATTTCTAATTATTCTGCAGGAATCGTCCCTCATCCTGCATCAAAGTGGTATCAGAGCTAAAACCTGGTTTCTTTCGTTAAGGTGCTGTTTAAAATTGCTTACTGGAGCATATACTGAAAACCTAATCGAATATACAGTCCACCCCTGTTGCCGTCTTCACCTATTGCCTACACACTGACCAAATCCCCAGCAACCATCTGCTGCAATTCCCCACGGCTACTGCACAATCCAAACCATCATCACCAGAACCTACCACCACCCGTCAAGGCCACAACCTTCCGCCCAAATTACAAATTCCGACCCCATATCAACAATTACTCCCGCTGCCTCTCCAAACTCAAAACATCTGCTGCACGACAATTACACCTGTGACCACCACCTCCCCGACTCACGCACCGAAATTGCAATCAACTGCCGACTGTTTCAGTAATGGCCGTCCAAGCCCAATTGCCGAAATCAATAGTACCGTAACGCGACACCCACACCCGCAGTCGACCAACATAATTACCTTCATCCCAAACCAGAAACGGAACCATCTCTCTCACTACGGATTCGGACTTCTGCTAGTCAACCGGCGCGACGCCCCACATCGTTGAAACGCTCCTCGTCGGCCAGTTCCCAGAGGCCGCCTTCTACAGCTTTCAATGGGTGGGTTTATGAGTTATGGGTTTAGGCTTGATTGGGTTATTAGTTAATCGGGTTGGTTTATTGGTTATCAATTGGGTTGGGCTTAATTTCAATCGGGCAGGTTTATTTGTATCACTTGGATTTGGGCTTGACTTTAATTGGGTTGGGTTTATTAGTTATTGCTTGGGTTTAGGCTTGATTGAGATTTTGAGTGTGATTTAGGCCCAAATTTGTGAAATGGGCTCATTTATTATTTTGATTTTGTATTATTTAAAAAAAAAGAGTAAAAAAAAAAAGTCAAAAAAAAAAAGAGGAAATTATTTAAAAAAAAAAAAAAAAAAAAAAAAAGAGAAAAAAAAAAAAATTTCTTGAATTTTGAGAATTTCCTGACATTCTTTATAGGTACATTATTTCCTCGACGAACACGGAATTTTCTATCTTGGCATCTCAGCGCTTAACAGTTCAGAAAAGTGGAGGCATTCGACGCTAGGACGACTCAGGCCAACTGAACTCAGGGAGCCTCTGCTTCTATCTATTTTTAGTGACACTGTTACTGTATTTTAAAATTGCATCAATTAATTCTTTGTGTTGCTACTATTAATTTTAGCCATAAATATGTTGGATTGAAATTCACGAACCGACCCATTGTTCATTCGTTTACCCCACGTGACTAGACCTAACATTCGTACCTTTGCTTTTTATTTTATTGGTATTAGTAGTATTAGCTTGCGATCGGGCCATACGTAATCCCTACAATAAAATAAACTAACAATAATAACCATAGAGAAATTTCGATCACTATTTTCCCTGCTGGCACTCGTTGGTTGTTGATCTCAGTAGGCACTCCACCTAATTTGTGTTACCGTGTATGCAATTGCGTAGTGGTCGCGTTACTGCCTCTAGCTCTAGTACCCTTGCCATGGACCCTTCCCACATTGAAGCTATCACTCGACAGTTGGCACAATTACAAAATCAATTAACGGCTGTCCAAACTGAGTTAGCCGCTACTCGTGAGGAGAATAGAGCCCTCACCGCTAGGGTAAACACTCTTGACCCAACCCAATCCTCAATGGAATACTTTCGACAAGGTAATCAAAAATACTTTTGACCCGATCGTAAAGATAGGGATAGGAATAGGGATCAAATTCGTGAGCGAGAACGAGATAATTTTGAAATTCTTACTCAATGGAATGCCCTTAAACAAGGAAATCAATTAGTGACTGAGTATATTGCGCAATTTGAGGAATTTCGAACCAAATGTCATTTAATTGAGGACGAGAGCACGACTTTGAGTAGGTTTAGCCAAGGTCTGAAAGATGATCTTAAGCGCGAGCTTTTCCTTCGAGGTGTCACTACTCTTAATCACGCTTACTCTTTAGCTCGAGATTATGAGTTGATTATTAGTACTCCTTATGAAAAGCGTGGTCATTGTCGTTCACCCATCTCATTAGCGTCGCCTCATCACAAGTCTATCATAAAACCCCCCGTCTGATGTTCCTCCAATTTTGAAAAATAAAGGTAAAATTTTTGATAATCATCATTTGGCTTCATTGGCTCCACCTCCTTTCGTTAAGTCCCTTCTAGGACCTCCCCCTTCTAATGGTTCTCCAATCTTGGAAAATCAGGGTAGAATTTCTGAAACTCCAAGGTCTTCTTCTCACTTGTTGTGCGTCAACTGTAAAGACTTTGGTCACATTTCTTCTAAATGTCCTAATCGAACCTTAGTCATGGAAGAACGAAAGAATGTAATAGAGGAGCCGTTGGAAGATCTAGTCTATGAACCTAAACTTGAAGATTTTGATGACTTGGATGATGGTGAGGACACTTCCTTAGGTGGAATCCAGACTCTTCCCAAGACTTTGGATACTATACCCCTTATCTCTGACAATTCTCGATCACATGTTATATGTCATACCCTTGCCCAAGTTAAAGTTAAAGAGCTTGACGATGTCACCAGTCACCCTTGGAAAATCCAATCGCCTGTGGTTAATACTAAGGCAAAATTATCCACCACTGACCAACCTCAAATTGATGGTCACAACAAAAGTGCTAACCAAAATCCTAACAATTTATTACAGTCTCTAGTCTAGAAAAATCTTGAAAATTTGGACTGATCCCTCCAATTGTTCAAATTGCATATAACGATCCTGTGAACTGGTCTTTAGGTCTAAAACCCTTTGAAGTTATTCTTGGTTGTGAACCTTTGAAACCTCTAAACCTTATTCCCATGCACCCACATGCTTGTGTGTCTATGTCAGTTGAGGTAGTTGTATCATATTTTCATAGCTTGCATATTGAGATCAATAAACAATTTGAAGCAAGTAAAGCATTATATAAACCTCAAGTTGATTGGCATAAACAATACTTTGAATTTAATATTGGGGATTATGTTATATTGCAAGCGTGTAATGCCGGTCTTTTTAAAATTTCAAAGCAAGTTGGTCAAAATGCCTATGTCATTGACCTTTTATCACATTATGACCACCACCCTATTTTATTTGTTACGGACTTCGATGCTTACAACGGCTATTTTAGCCCCTCTGATGACCCGTTTCTACTCCCACATGAGAATTTCCATACTGAATCTGTTGCCATGTCTGCTTCAATCCCACCTATCACAGCACACAAAAATAAAATTGATGTTATTTTGGATGAACAGCTTGTGTTGACCAATGATAGAGAGACCAATGATAGAGAGATTCAGTGCTTTCTTGTTCGTTGGATGGATCGACTTGATTCTGACGGTACATGGATTCCCAAAGAGAGACTTCAGCGGCATGAGCCAAATTCATTGGAACTTTATAAGAGTCAGCAATATTCTCATTCACCTAAGTTATCTTGGTCAGCTCATGTTTTTGCGGGTAATTTGCAATTGGCGTCGTCATCATTTGTGGAATTTCGATATTTGGTTCGTCAGAAAGATCGTCCCCTATGGCATGACTTGGAGCTTTAGCATCAGATTCATTGCAACATTTTGATTTATCCACTCGACGGGGTCGAGTTTTTCTCCCACCCTGGGAGAATTGATGTGGACATCCATTTACTATTTATTTTCTATTTGGACTATTAGTTATATTCTATTTGGATTATTATTTATATTTCTGTTATTGGGCTTGTTTAGCGGGTTTGGCCCAAGCCCCTCTCTTTAAGGTTTTTGTTTTATTATTTATTTCTGTTTTGTTGCGTATTTGAGACAGTTGATGAATTAATGAATTAAAGAATAGAATGCTTGGGTTGTTGCCTATGACTTCCTTCTTCTCCCCTTTCCCCTGATTTCTACTTCTTCTCTGGTTTTCTCCCCCCTTTCTCTCTGGTCCTTTCCCCCTTCTTGCTGCCTTCTTTTTCTTCTCGCTGGAATTCTACTTGCTAGTTGTGCTATTTTGCTATTTCTAATTATTCTGCAGGAATCATCCCTCATCCTGCATCAAAAACAATGCAAGACAGCAATTCTTTTGAACACCTCATTATACTATACACACTATTAAATGTTCGTTAATGGCATTCATGAACCCACAGGATTCAAAAATCATAGTGAAAACACCTGTACCAAGCCCAATCCAGCACCAAAATGACGATCTTAACTATCATAGTCAACTCATGAAATCCCCACAAATGGGAATTACATAAATTTTATTTACATACTATCAAATAAGCTGATTCAAATTTTGACTATTGAAACCTAAAATTGGCCTTTGCATGCTCAAATATTTTGCGTGTAAGTAAAAGAACGGGTACACAGATTTTTAGCAGCTACTGAAAGACCAAACCTCATGTAGTGCAGGAGCGTCGTTAGTACCATCTCCAGTAACAGCAACAACGTGACCCTTCTTCCTCAATGCTTGTACGAGCAAGAGTTTGTCATTTGGTGATGACCTACCCATCACCTGTATGTGAAATGATAATAAGAAATGTCATCCATGCCACTCAAATTAATAGAACATAGACAACAACAAAAACATTTGGGCTACCAAGTTAACTGAAATACCTTAATTTTATCAGCCACTACCAGCCTCTGCATCTCAGACATGGCATGGAATGCCTTTCCTTCAATGAGATTTGGCTCGGTAGCATCTCCATTTGATCCTAATATCCCACACTCTACCGCTATTGCTTTTGCCGTTTGAAGATTGTCTCCAGTAACCATACATACCTATAAAATTGTTAAAACAAATATCAACATAATAGCAGGTGTTGACAAGCTAAGTGGAAACATCAGCGTAAGACCATGGATCCCATTCAAACAGACAGAGTTCTTCATCAAAGGTTCGGCAGCACAAATTTCCCTAGTTAGTTGTCGTTACGAGAATTAGCTTCTAAGGTATCATCTTGTAGTTCTAGGATTGGTTTTGTATGGCCTAGTAAGACTGGCCTCAGTTCCATGCATGTGATAGCTTGTTCCAACCAAAACTCGTCCCTTTTATTAATCAATGCCCTCCCATCCTATAGAAATAGAAACTTCAGCAACCCTTTTATCAAAGGCTGGAGGGTCCGTACCCATTAAACAAGAAAGAGGTTTTTCATAATATCATTTTTTTTATTATACAAAATCATAATCGACAACAATAATTAAGGAATATAACGTTAATAGTTCAGTGAACAAGAAAAGGTATTCTGTTCTAACACTAGATAAGTGGCACTCAATAAGCACAATAAAGATCAATTGGCCACCACAACATCAATTACACAGAAGCACAACCCAACTTGAATCTAGGTGACAGCCACTCCTATACGTACACACTCATCATGTCATAAGCAAGTACAAATACTCTTTACAATATGTATTAAATGTATCAAGTATCTGAGAAGAAGTGGGTCACGGGATATCAAAATGTTAACGATACAGATCTTGGAAGGTGTACTGCAGAAGATCATACATATACAGATATAAGCAATAAGAAGAAATGCAATGTTGTATTTGTTGACACATAAAAATTCAGCCCAAATCGAACGGCCCAAGGAATGAAGCCCAATTGGAGGATCCCCAAATCAGATAGCCCAAAGAACGAAGCCCAATCAAACAATTCAAGATGAAGGCCCAAATAGGGAGGCCCAAGAACGCGGTAACGCCATCGCCCAAGTTTGCAAGTCGCCCAGAATCTGAGCGAATGGAGTGCCATGCAGTCGCCCAGAGCTGTTACTCTATTCTCGCCCAAACCTTCAAGTCGCCCAAGGTCTTAACAAACATAAAGCGTTGTGGTTATCAAGAAGTGCAGTTATCAAAGCAGTTATTAAAGCAGCCCTATCACGTTCCACGATTTAAGGAATTCAATCGAAAACGGTTGAACGACGAAGAGTAATGGCAGCAGTTTTCATGACAAGTTGGCCATTATGAGGAAAGTGGGCAGTTGCAGAACGATCAAGCAGTTTTTAGGCGGTTGATCACAAAAAAAGATCATCCATAGAGTATAAAAGGGAGAAAAGACATAGAGTAAAGGACCGAATCAAAAACTCTCGAACAGAGAACATGTAATTTTAATTTCTTTAGTTCAGACTTAAACACTTTTTTCAGTAACTCGTGTGCTTGCTCCCCTTGGAGGCATTTTGTTTTTGATTTCCAATTGTAAAGTCATCGCCAATAAAAGAACACCCATTTTTGGGACTTTGTCTCAAGAGGTTTGTCCCTTACACAGTCGTCTGATCCCTTTTAATTGTTAGCGACTAACTCGCACGAAACAGTATTCAAAGTCACCCAATTAATGCCACTGTTACAGATTAAGATCTAAATTGTCATCATAGAAGAAAGAAGGTAATAACACATCACCTTCTAGGCCTAGGGAAAATTTCTTTGTTAATTCGAATACTAGTGAATCAGAAAACAGAAATCACATAAATATAAAGATATAACTTCAGACCCAGATGTTTTGGGTGTCAATTTTTATCATAAATCCCTGTAGAGCTTATCTGACAGACACGTTTGCTTTCAATCTTATTAGTTCACATGCTAATAAGCAACCCAAACCTTCTTAATTCCCCTAAGAAAAATACTGGTGTAGAAATAATGAAAGCATATTTGCATGATTTCTGACAGCATTTCACATTAGAAATATTTCATGGTCTCTTCACATCTTGGAACCACTAGTCAAGTTTCTAAATGCATCACCTACTTCAGTTGGAACGGAAATTTAAAACCATGTGAAGACAGAACTATTGAAAACACACGAAAATGAACACCCGAATGGAAGCACAAGGAGTGGAAAAAAATATGCAACAGCAGGGGAACAATTTATATTCACAAATTTCAAGATCCCACGATAACATTTTGTAGAGATTCCAAATAAAGTTAATCCTAGGATCTAGGAATATATACTGTTTTTAGGTTAAAGGAGAATTTGGGTAGGTAGTTACCTGATTTCTCTCTAATTAGGTTTTTCCTAGTTTAGTAGATGAATAGTTTGGTATGTATCAAAATTAGTGGGGGTCTTAATTGACTGCCTGTGTGTGAATTAAGCTGTATGTTTTCCTTCATTAAGAAAAAGAAGAATAACGAGAATTCTCTCAATATTTCACACATTTCCTAACTAACAAAAAGAAAGGGGAAAAGAAAAGATATTAGGGATGACAAAAAAGAAACTCGTTCAACCCGAAGTAGGGACGATGTCATTGCCTCGAAGCGGGTACGAGAAACATAGTCCTCACCCCGTTTAAAGTTAATTTTAAATATAAATTTTTTAGCAAACAAATATAAACGATTTATCATCATTTTTAAAGAAAACATGAATTGTTCTTAACAAAGTAGAAAAAAATAATATTTACTAACTAAAGACAAATATATATATATATATATATATATATATATATATATATATAACGAATGGGGCAGCAGTGATCCTGCCCCGTCCCACTTTAACCGGAGGGGGGAGGAGGCAAGGTGACAAAATTATCCGACCGAACAGTGGTGGGAATAGCCGAACCATCCCATACCCATCCATTGTCATCCCCACAAGTTATTGCAATATCAGAAGATTATAAAGAAGACGAAACCAAGATTGATCCATCACAAAAAGATGTTGAATTCCAGAATTAATCCTAAACTTTAGGGATCAGTTTATCTTTTCTTTTCACTTGGATTGAATTTTTCATAATTTAGTTTTGTATTTTGAATAAAGAGATTAGGAAGGTTGTTTTCTAAAATCTCTCCAGTTGTTATTTTTATTTTTTCCTCTTCCTTGATTTGAGGGATTTGTTTGTTGCTAGGATTAAAGAAGATGGGCGGCAGATTTGTTGCTACTCTCTCCTATAAATTGTACCTCCTTTTTGATTGTGGTAATGAAAACATTGTTGTGTTTACACTTTTCGCATCACTTTTGAAAGAGATGGATATACCTTAACACCGGCATCAATGCACAACTGAACCGCATCTCTGACACCTTGTCGACAAGGATCCTATATCGCAGATGAATGCTCTCTTAGTGCTGAAATACACAAATGGCAAATTGTGTAGATGTATTTTTGTGCAAATGTATTTTACATATGGCCAGCATCTATGCATACATCCATGGAAATGCATTTTATACACAGAAAGTAATTTGGCATCTAAGGGGGATGCAGAAAAGATTACTGATGGTAAAGAAAAAAGAAAACTTTTCGAGATAGGATGTACAACACAAGATTTTACTTTTATTATATCTACATAAGGTCAAAAACTGAGACGGAAAAACAATAAATCACTTCATCTCTCGGTGAAATGAATTTAAGATGACATATATTGATACTGCATTTAATGAAATATCTCACGCCTTCCAAGATTAGGGATGTCATCGTTCGAAGAGAAAGTTAACAGGGACTTTCAAGAAAAGTTGAAACCATAATCGGAGGCTGATACTTTTCAAAAATACCTTGATACCGACAATGGCAAGTAAAATAAGGTCTTCTTCTGGTAATTGCCAATTCTCCGTTTCCTCCTCATTAGAAGGGACCGTCTCCATCTCGTATGACCTGTAGGCAATAGCAACACAGCGTAGACCTCCTGCAGCCATATCTTCAATTGCTTTCTTGAAATATGATACCTACAAGACCAGAATAAATGCAATCACAATTAATATCAAGTCCAATAATTTTAAACAATATAAATACTTCTACACGTATTTGGAGAAATCTATCCTTATCATTTAGTGCAGGTATGAGGCCCCTTCTTTATAAATTCATTTCTCCCCAAAATCATTTTCAATCACGCATTAGATTAGATTTGATATTTCCATACAATTCTACCTCGTTTAGTAGAAGTTTTTTTAATTTTAGTTTCATTTCAGTTTCTTGCTCTATAAATAGAGAGCTTCTTAACTGTAATTCACAACCCTCGATTGCATGGATAAATTGAATCTTCTCTTGCCCTCAATTCTTCTCTTCATTGCACCCCTTTTTATTCAGAATCTTCAATTGTTCGCGTCAAATACTCATGCGTCATTTTCTCAACTTTTTAACCAAACGTTCTCCAAAATATCACTATCACATAATCTATTCCAAAAAATCGGGGCTCAAACAAACCCTTAAGAGAAAACACATTTCTTCCTAATTTTTTCCTTATCTCATCAGAACCAGCTAAGATCTTCATCCTTAACAAATTAGAACAAGACAAATATATTTTCAAGTAATTAAAAACCCAATATTATTATTGCAGAACTTTCCGCTGAAGGGAATAGAAAGAGCAAACAGCTAGTTAACTAAGAAAAGAAAGTTTCCGATAACCTTATCTTCTTCCATCTGCGCCATGCAGCCATTTGAATCCATGTAATAGGTACAAGATGCAAGGACTAGTTCTGCAGCCCCTTTCCAGTGTACATGAAACTCAGAATTCGACTGAAAAAAAGAATTAAAGATAAATACAACACGCGACCCACCAAAATTGTACTATCACTATCTGCTATTGATATCTTGCTAAAGAGAATGAACAAATCTAAGTCTAATCGCTTAATTATTATATTTGTCTTCATACACCTTTCCTTTCGCATCCTTCCACTCCTATTTCCCATGAAAAGCTATTTATATTAGTATGAAATGTAGTAGGGAGCCAAAAAGTGCAACTACATCATAACATTTAATTGATTTATTCAGTTACCAGTTTTAGAGCGACACCACCTTTCTTTTTCTCTGAGTTGAACGGAAAAGCATGGATTATTAGTGACTTTGATCGAACAGTATCGAAATCCATCCCAAGCTACAAGAGACATAACAACTCAAGTAAAATAAGTAGCATAAGAGAATCAAAGAATGTACTAACACTCAAACAAAACTAGCTATATTACATTAATGCCCCACTGAAGGATGGCCTTTTCTGTTGGTGATCCAGAAATCTCCAGAGCTTTACCACCCTGTTAAAGACCAGCCACAACAATTTTCTATTGTTTCAGCATTATAATGGTCTAAAACTAATCAGATATCAAAATTATTTTGTGTCAAGATGCTTGAATTTTCAATGCAACTAGAATGCTTGACAAGATTCTTATACTGCATATGCAGCCAATGTTCAGATCTTCCTTTCCATTTTCCAACGATTACTAAATATTAGAAGTAACATTTCATACAATACCAGCATAAATTCAATCAGCTGTTTAGATCTGTGATATATACACATGATCTAATACCAACACCATTGATGGTGCTAATTCAGTGCAGACAGTTCATGCCTAAATCAAATAAAAGCACGTATAAAATGGAAGACAGCACTACAGCACTTCGGACTATAGCTCCAGCCTCTTCTTAAGACAAGAAACGAACAATTTGTGGCCCACTTCCCCCTTTACAACACAAGAATACAATTAAGATTGATAACCTAATCATTGTCCTTAGATTCTAAAAATCGTGCATTCATAACCACCAAGATACTAAGAATTTCAGAGTACACTGAGTTAGAAATTAACATGCGATGAACAGTTCTCCATTCAAAAGTCAAAATGCTTCTCAAAGCTTAGAAATATTATCCAGCATCTCCCACTGAGGTAATAATCCCCTTGTAAAATGTAGACGACATCAATATTACAGTGATTTTATGGTATCAGGTGCAATAGTACTACGTGAGCATAACTTAGGGGATTATATTGATAGTCGGATATAGTAGTAAGCCAGAAGGTCAAGGAAATTGCTGTTACCATTCAGCAGTAAAATGATGTGGAACCATGCCCAAGATATCAGGCTGGTGCATAGATTTACTAGCCCAGGATCCCACTGGAGTATGACTAGTACCACTCCAGAGATAGAATAGAAACCACGCTGTCAAAGATTGTACCAAATGTGATGCACCATTCTCATGCAGAAGCATGTGTAGGTGTCAACATTGCTGTACGCTAAGAGGCAACAGGGAGGAAATCCACAGTTTTTTTAGTGACGGCAACGAAAAGCTGGTGATGATAAATGAAGGCAAGGCACAGGATCAGGGGGTGCTGATCCAATGTTTCTTTACTTGAGAAACAAAGGCCTGATCCACTTTTTAAGGATTACAGGTCTCCTAGTAAGAGACAAACATCCCAAACCATTGGGCACCACACCAACTTACTCGTGAAGTGCACAAGTTAGCATAAGAGTCTCCGAACAAGCATCCGTGCACACATTCATCAACATATCAATTGGAGACAACAAAATATTACACCATGAATATTACATGCCGTCACAAACTAATAAGCCGATAAAAATTGTCAAAACACAAGCAATACTACCCTAAGCATCACTATCGATCATTCAATTAGAATATTAAGTAAAATAAAGAAGAAATCATGTGCTAAATGGTTGCTATTTAGCAATAACCCACCTCAGGGACAAATATCCTGCCAGTTGTATTCTGTGAAATGCCTTCAAGAAGCAGAGACATAACATTAGGAGGAAGTAGTGACTGATTGTCAGGGGGTTCAATCTTCTTCCCACAAGCAAACACATCAACCACAGTCATCTGCAGAAAGTTGGGAAAAAATCGTACAAAATGAAACAAACTCCCAGATCTCTACCAATTACGTCAATGGCTGGAGCAATCAACACTCCTCCCTGCACTCGCTTCCCAAAGAAAAAAATTCCCAAGATAAGTGGAAGCAAAATAAAAACCACCAACCTGATTCAAAGTTAGGGTCCCGGTTTTATCACAGCAAATAGTTGTTGCAGAGCCCATGGTTTCACAGGCTGATAGCCTCCTGACCTGCAGTTCAATTGCCAATCATGAGACACCGGAAAATATGAAAGTATATCTTAAGAACAAGAAAATGACTGTCACTTCAAATAAGATAAGCAATATACCAAGGCCTTGTCCGCCATCATTTTTCTCATTGAATAGGCAAGCCTACAAAGTGATTTAAAAATTCAGTAAAATAAAAAATGTTCAATGCAGATGAAGAACACATTTATACAGGCATCCAAGCCTGTAGGTGCAATAAATGCAAATGAGGTATCATAACCATTAGAAGGAACTATTTTTTACAAAGGAGTATCGGACATCCACAAACTTCTTCTAGACTTTAAAACAGCAAAACAACGAGCATAGGATTCAAGAGAAGATGAAGATGAACAAATGAACTTACATCTTAGTGATAGCCAATGGAAGCCCTTCAGGTACTGCAACAACTACAATTGTCACCTACAATTTCACCTAAATAAGTTAACAGGTCAAAAATAAATATTAATGTATGCAACATCAATTGATTATCTTAATGAGCACATACTGAAATAGTGAATATCTTTATGAAGCCATCTATAGAATCACTAATGCTAGTCTGCCCTGCTCGGAACTGGGTTTGACCACCTGGATTGCTGGTTTTCCCAATAAAATAGCTGCTCAATCACAAAGTCAAGTTTATCACTGACACTACTGCAATACAAAAAATGAGATCACATATCGAACCATTTACTATATCTAAAAGCTACCTAATCACAAGGACAATCAGATCCACTACAGCCATGGCAAGCCCAACAATACCAAAAAATTTTGCAACCCCATTTAATCGTACCTAAAATTCATAAAACACGAAAATGATAATATTGTTCACATCTACTCTTAGCATCTAGTGTAAAAGTTCAGGAATTCCAATGAAGATAACCTGCAATGGTGTTTCTTCACCATTATCCTCTGATATGCTGGCCATCAGTAATCCCCATTTTGTATTTATCCCAACGCTTGTTACCTGTGAAAGAATAACATTCCAACGAACTGTAACTCACCACATTAAAGTCTATAAAAAGAACTATGATCACTCACAGAGTACAAACATTTTCATGAAAATGACACATATGTTAAAAAAACAAACCTCTATTCGACTTAACATACTTCACAAGTATCCATAGCACACTTAAAATTGTAGCTTAAAATCAACAAGCGTGCAAAATAGAATAGTAGTAGTATAGTAACGATAATATTACTAGCTCTAATACTACTGTACTAATAATGATAATGATAATAAGGTACAAGGTTTTACTCCTAAACCTATGAGCACACTGTCGGACATAAAGTAACATAACCTAAAAGCAGGTCAGCATTATAAATAATATCTCAGTTCTCTTAAGCTCGGCAAACAAGATATTATGAAGGCATATACTAAATGAACTAAACATGGCATCAGAACACATCATTTAGTTGTGTCTGCTACATACAAGGCTTGTCAAAACACTAAGGCAACATACAAATGAATGGCAATTCTATTTAATACAGTTATTTAATCTCTTTCACTTTACATTAACACTGAGAGAAGCAGACGAGAAGCCACTTATATTTTTTATAGTTAAACCATTTAACTATGAGTTATCCTTCCCAATTGGAACAGGTTAGGTCATTTCAACTTTCTCTATCAACCCTTAAACTCTTATTATGCTCTCAGTTTTCTACTTTTCAGAGTCACCAAGTAAAAGCATATTGTAAAGAGGGCTCAAACTTCAAGCCATAAGGACTATCAGCAAATTTTAGCAGAAAAGACGAACTAATATACGTACTTAATAAAATAAAAATACTGGACGCACTACAAATATGGAGATGAATCTTCCCATCAGCAGCTATCTAGATTAACTCACTTAAGCCAGCACTCTAATTGATGAGATACATGAAGGCTACCAAAGAAAAAAGGAAACAAACAAATAATTTGGATCACATACAGAAATACAGAGACATAGTTGAGAGAATACAATGCAAGAGTGCAACAGCTGCATTTGCTCCATGCAGACACGAGCAATAATCAAAACCAGTGTCCATCATGTACCACTTTTTTGTAAGCCATCTACTTATCACAGCTATTAGCTGTGAAATGCTTTCTTGCAAATAGATAACCGCATCAATACATATACTCTAACATGGTGGTTGTAAATTTGACAGATAAAATTCCATTTCCAATAAAAGCAAAAGTTGATTAAAGAACGACAGAATATTACCAGCATGGTACCATAACCATCAGCAACCTTGCATCCAGACATAAGAAATGGTGCCCTTGGATCCTTGTGAACCTGTAGAACCGTGACCAGTAAAGAAGAATATGAGCATGATAACTACCAACTAATGCAGTAGAGGGCCTACTGGGGCTTACAATTTTGCTTTCCCCAGCCATACTTGACTCATCAATCGCAAGGGATTGACCAGCGATTAGAACTCCATCTGCAGGGACCTGTTAAAACATATTCAAGAAAAAGCAAAGAAGATTATAAGTATCATGGATCGAAAAAGTGACTTTATTTTGAAGGGGAGCAAGAGGTATTGTCATTCACCTGATCACCAATTTTGAGAGGCACAACATCACCAACAACTATATCAAAAATAGAAATCTTAATTCTCCTCCCACCCCTAACGACCTGTACAAAATTACAGGAAATCTGAGGAAAAATGCGAAAGGTGGACAAAAGGAACCAATCCAGAGTGTATAACACCTAGGGGGGATTTGGGGGGGGGGGGAATAGGAAACAATCTAGAGTGTATAACACCTACCTCCATGTGTATATTTTGCTTCTCCTTATTTAAATTTTGGAATGGGAGGGATTGTTGGTAATCACTTACAGCTGCAATATGGTAAAGTAATTAGATATCTCATAACTGCCTAAAGTTGACACTGTCCAAGGGGATAAGTACAACACTAAAAAAAGAAGTCACAAAACATGAATTTCAGAGAGAATAAACAGCTAGATACATAGCATCTATTCAATGAAACTTAAAATCTCAAGTCCACAAGCTCACTCAGCGTCATGATATGAATTGCTTTTAACACAAACTTCAACATAGAAGATCACAATGCACACAGTAAGAATGGAGAGTGACAATTGTGAACAATTAAAGATGAACAACAAAAGAGTTAATTGCATTAGCATACCTCCAATCTATTGCATTTATTGGCACATAAAACTTTAACATTGGTAAAGCAGTCAGAGTGATACGAGGTCAAGAACTTCCAACTAAAAAGCGTTAACATGAACACGTGCAAAAATATCATACCAGTTGAAACGGCAAAAAAATAAAAGGCTATAAATCCTACGTTCTTTATTGTACCTGTATAAACAATAACTTCAAGTACAGCAAAGGTAATGCTTCCCCCATCATACCAACCTTCTTTTATACCCTAAGGAAGAGAATAAATGTGAATTAGAACAAAAACAAAACAACAAAAGATGCATAACAATAAAAACATGCAAAACATGCATTTCTCTCTATATATCTACTAATTTGACTAATTGCTTCAAATGATAAATGGAAATGTAATCTTCATAGATCGCATACACTCTGCATCATTGTTTATATATATATAATAAATTCTAGGCAATTGAATTGCCTATAAATTATTTGCATGAAAAATTTCAATTAAATATGTTTGATTCATTTTATTTTCAACTTGAAAAATGTTATACTTGTCGATGAGAGAGACAGAGTGAGTGAATTACCTAAAAAATAAAAATTTACTCCTCGTTTTCAAGAAAAATATGGTCATGTGACTAAAAATAGGAAAATATTTTTCATGGAAAAAAATATCTATCAAACAGTACAAAAGTAGGAATTTTGGTAGAAAATGACATCTTCCATGAAAAATATTGACAGTCAGACACATTTTTATAGAATATGTCATTATAGAATACTTCTCAAAAGGCAAGGAAAAAGGAAACCAAAAGATAGCATATTTCATGGGACATTGTCTGGTTACAAAGTTAAGTAAAAAGATATGCATATTATTGCCTTTCTTTTCAGACAAATTTTCAGCCTGGGTAATGAAAAAAATAATGAATAACGAACTAATCACTACTTTTTGATACCAAACAATCTGTCAAAATTGAAAAATTAACAATACCATTTTAGACTGATTTAACCAAGTCTAATATTTAAATCAAGCATAGAAGATTTCATATATACACACACACACACATATATAAGTAGAATGGCATCTTCCGATCTGCAATCACATTGCTTCCCCGCAAAAAATGTCCAGGCGAAAAACTAATGCTATCAAGAAAAGGCTCATAGTTGAAGAAGCAGAGACCAACAACTAGATATTGCACAGGTAGTGTCACAATGTCATCATAATGAACTTGGAGAAAAGGAAAGTATACTTCTTTATGGTATGCAATCAAAATTTAAAAAACAGGCATTTGTAACCTGTTGACATTACCTCAGACTTTATGCCCAGTGCCAAAGAAGCAGCTGCAGCAACCATCAAGATAATCAGAGTTGTGTCTTGACAAGCCTCCCAGAGAAACCTCTTTAGAGAAAATGCAGAAAAAGAATATACATTCATGAGACAATGTTTACCTGCAAAGAAAATATGCAATTGCAGCTTAAAAACTTGGAATATTCAGTACTTACCCAGAAACTCCTGCCTTTTTTCTGAGGATATGTGTTTGATCCAAAAGCTTTTTTTCTATTTATGAGCTCAGTCTCGTCTCCAGATACACCTTTTTCCAAATTTGATTTTACTTTATCAGCAACTCCTTTGACCTGATACCAAGGACAAAGGGAAAAAGAAAAAGAATTCAAGACAATCTAGAGTAATAATGACAAGAATAAAAAAAAAAAAAGATTTTGCTTTGGGAAAAAAAAAAAAAAAAAAAAAAAAAAGAAAGTTAAAATGTGAGAGCAGTGGACTTGCCCCTCCATGTTGCTCCAGCAGAGAAAGATTATGCTCTTGGGGCATTGAACATAGCTCATTTAAGCTAACATCAAAATCGCCACCAGGCTCTAAAATGCAAACATGTAACTTCAGTACAAATAATCAACCAAAAAACCAATAACATTTGTTATCGGCTTATGGGAATCAAACATCAATTAAGGAATTAAAGGAAAATGTCAAAGCAATCAATAGTTTAGCTTTCTTTTGGAAAAATTTATATACATCATTTATAAATGTCAAATTTCATTTTAAAACACACATTCCAATTGAACCAAAAGTACTATCCACTTAGCCACCATTCATTTCTATTATTTAGATATTAAACCATTTATAAATTCTTCCCAAACGGAGGCTTAAACAAATGCTCAAACTTACAGGTTGTAGATGAGTTAATAAATAAACTACCAGGAAGAAGAAAATGACAACAGTAACTATGGAAAAAGCCATAGGCATTTTCTTCTCCCAGTTTAGAGTGATACAGCTTGCAGTTACAAGCTTAAACCCAATATATTAGAATTACTATGAAGATGGTAATTTATCACCTAAGAACTTAATGCCAATATTCATTAGGAGTACAGAGGCAAAAACATTTGTTCTTTGTTTATATGGAAGACCTGCCACTTGGTGCTATCCATTGAAATTTAACCTCTACTTAATTAATTAAATACCACAGTACAAAGAATGAGAATTACCATTCACTCCTTCGCCAGCAGCTTGGAAGAGAACAGCAGACTGTTGAAGCAATAATTGATTAACAATTAATGACAAACTCAATACACTTCACCTAAATAAGAAAGAAGTATGATTTACCCTAGCGACTTGAGCATGCATTCGAATCTTAGCAATAATTTGCTTCCTCTCATCTTCTTTTTTCAAGTCCAACGTATATCGAAATCGGCGAGAAGCATTCAGCACAAGTGCAGTTTGCTAGGGAGGACAAAATTAAATTAGATCACGATTAAACCTCCCCTTAGATAACCATATACATAGACAAGCAATACAAGAGCATCATTATGTTGAATAAAGTATCCTAGTAATGCATTTTGATATGCATCTTAGAAGGACATAGATGGTATCAAGATTAAATACATAATCAGTTACTCCCAGAGATAAATATCATGGACCTAAGAGAACTACCCAAACACCAACAGTTCCCCCGTTCAATCATTTCTCACAAGAACCACTTTTCCCCTGTTCCGTTTTCACTTTAGGGAGTGATTTTCCTATTAAAACCTTTTTTATGGCAATTAAGATTAAATTTTTAGTAGATTTTTAATAAAAGTTGATAAAATGTCTGGTTGAAAAGTTGTGAAATTCATGAAATATGTGATTAAAATTATTTGTTGACTTTGACTTAGCCATTTTTTTTATGTAGATTAAGCTCCATAACTCTCTGTCTGTGCACATGACCTAATTCACACTTCATATGGCAACAAACATTATTCTGAAAATACATTCTATATCCACGGACTCTTTTTTTTTTTTTAATGCGAACTCTGCAGTCACCTTTTTTTTTTTTTTTTTTTTTTTTTAAACTCCACAGACTCCTTAAAGAACAAGAACATAAAAAATAGAGTGGAGCTGATACCCTTCCCAGCCTGTTGTAATTATAATTGGTAGAGAACTCATAAAAGAAATGTAAGGAAAAAAAAGCACATGAAAATTCAATATCATCTAATTCAAAATTTCCTCAATTTCTCTTCTATTTTGATTTGCCAAATTTCATTCAAGCGAGAATATTAATATTTGGTATGCTGTTGAAAAAAATAATAGAATCAAAACAAGATCAATCAAAAATCGGTGAAAAAAGAAAAGCAAGTTAATAATGCAAAAAGACTTACTCTCCATCTCTGCAACTGATCCAGTGGAGCACCTTTAGTTCGAACAATATCGAATGGTCCTGGACCGTTGACTTCGTCCTCATAAATCTCTCGGCTACTGTTACCAGCCTCAGGGTCGTTCCTGTAGCGTCTATACGGAGAGTTCTTGACTTCGTCTCCAATTACTTTGCTCATTCTGAAGTCGCAGGACAAACAAACAATCACAATTTCACTATTTCGACACAATGTGAAATCGGGCTTGGGTTTCAGTTCACTTCTTTAGGTTATCTGCACTCAACTACAATAGAATACAGATCGAACTGACAAAAAATGGTAAAGTACAAACTACGCGAAAAGATTCATCATAATGAATTTAGAGATGAGATGGAAAAACCTCAGAACGATGAACGCCTGAGATTGATTCTGTGGGTGCACATCTTCCCTTGCACAATACTAAAAATATACCTTCACGCATGACATGCAAATGAACTTTACACTTGCAAAGGAACGATACAATAATTAGCACAAAGTCCTTATATTTATTATATTTATTGTGCAAAATGTCCTTAACTTTCATTTTTGGCATTTTCGTCCTTATTTCAACTTTTTATTGGAGAAAACATCCTTTTCACTATTTTTAATGTAAAATGACCAAAATACCCTCCATTTAAATAAAACAAAAAAAGAAAAAGAAAAATAAAGAATAAAGTACAATTTTGCTCCTAAATGTTTTAAAAAATGCAAATGAGTTCAAATGATTATTAAAAGGTCTAATAGTATAAAACATCTCTACGTTTAACCTATAGTGTGCAAAACGTCCATATGTTTCAAATTGGTGAAAATGATGTTTTTCGCAATGAAACATAGAAATAGGGATAAAAACACAAAAAATTGAAACGTATGGACGTTTTTCGCAAAAAGTGACAAATGTAGGGATTTTTTTGCGGGTTAATAGCACAAAACGTTCATACGTTTGACACTTATTGCGGAAAACATTCGTACATTTCATTTTTTTTTGCATTTTCGTCCTTATTTCAACATTTCATTGCTAAAAATGTCATTTCCACCATTTTTTAATGTAAAATGATCAAAATACCCTCATATTTAAATAAAACCAAAAAAAGAAAAGAAAAATAAATAATAAATTGCAATCTTACTCCTAAATGTTTTAAAAAGTGCAAGTGAGTCCAAATAATTATTAAAAGGCCTAATAGCATAAAACTTCCCTACGTTTGGCCTGTAGTGTGCAGAACGTCCCTACATTTCAAATTGATAAAAATGACGTTTTCCATAATAAAACGTGAAAATATGGATGAAAGTACAAAAAAAATTGAAACGTATGGATGTTATCTGCAAGAAGTGTCGAAGGTAGGGACGTTTTTTGCAAGAAGTGCTAAACTTAGGGATGTTTTATGCTATTAGGTCTTATTAAAGCTGAAACCATTGCCAAACTGATGAACCTCCATACCATCACCCAAACTCCGACGGCACCACCTCTTCCGGAGAGATCCATGTCATTTCCAATACACTAATCGACTATACTCACCAGAGCGCTTCTCTTCATGGTCTCTTATTCTCTAAATGGGACTGCCACCTTAGAAATGAAAAAACTTCGACCAACCATCGCCCAGACCGTCGAACCTCTGTACCGCTGAACCATCTGTTGATATTTTAAGACTATGAAGAGAAGCGTCCTAATGAGTATAGTCGATTGGTGTGTCGGAAATGACATGGATCTCTTCGAAATAGGTGGTGTCGTCGAAGTTTGGGTGATGGTATTTTGGAAATGGTATAGAGGTTCGACGATTTGACAATGGTTTCAATTTTAATAAGGTCTAATAGCACAAAACGTCCCTACGTTTAATACTTTTTGTGGAAAACGTCCACATGTTTGACATTTCTTGCAAAAACGTCCATACATTTCAATTCTTTTTGCATTTTCATCCCTATTTTCACGTTTCACTGCGGAAAACGTCATTTTCATCAATTTGAAAGGTAGGGACATTTTGCACACTACAGACCAATGTAAGGACATTTTATGCTATTAGGCCTTTTAATAATTATTTGAACTCATTTGCACTTTTTAAAACATTTAGGAGTAAGATTGCAATTTATTCTTTATTTTTCTTTTCTTTTTTTGGGTTTTATTTAAATATGAGGGTATTTTGGTCATTTTACATTCAAAAATGGTGAAAAGGACTTTTTAACAATGAAACGTTGAAATAAGGACGAAAATGCAAAAAAATGAAATGTAGGGATGTTTTTCGCAATAAGCGTCAAACGTAGGGACATTTTGTGCTATTAACCCATTCAAAAATGGTGAAAAAGACGTTCTTAGTAATGAAACGTTGAAATAAGGACGAAAATGCAAAAATAAAAAATAAAAATAAAATAGGGACGTTTTTCGCAATAAGTGTCAAACGTATGTACGTTTTGTGCTATTAACCCATTTTTTTGTTATTAGGCCTTATTAAAATATTAAAAATAACAAAGAAAACTCTCTCTTTCTCTCTCTCTTTCTTCTTTTCCAAATAGGTTAGCCACCTTAGAAGCCAAAAAACTTCAGCAAACCACCTCCCAAACTATTGGATTATCATACCATCGAAAAACCCTCACTTCTCTCTACATATACCAACCAACATCCAACCTTGAAACATTTATACCAATAGATTTGTTCGGAATTGCAAGCCAAAATACCAAACTCGCAAAATGGAAATACTGGCGGTATCATCTGTTCCGGAGAGACCTATGCAATTTCCAACATACCAATCGACTAAATTCACTAGGGCGTTTCTCTTTATGGTATTAAAATATCAACAAATGATTCAGTGGTTTGGGCGATGGTCAGTCGGAGTTTTTTCACTTCTAACGTGGTAGTCCCATTTGGAGAAGGGAGAGGGAGAGGGAGAGAGAGAGAGAGAGAGAGAGAGATTTTTGTTATTTTTAATATTTTAATAAAGCATAATAGAAAAAAATTCCTACATTTGACACTTCTTGTGAAAAACGTCCATACGCTTCAATTTATTTGCGTTTTCATTCCTATTTCTACGTTTCATTGGGAAAAACGTTCTCTTCGCGAATTTGAAACGTAGGAACGTTTTGCACACTATAGGCTAAACGTATAGACATTTTGTACTATTAGACATTTTAATAATTATTTGGACTGACTTGCACTTTTTAAAACATTTAGGAATAAGATTGTAATTTATTCTTTATTTATTTTTTTGGTTTTATTTAAATGGGAAGGTATTTTGATCATTTTACATTCAAAATGGTGAAAAAGGACGTTTTCTGTAATGAAACGTTGAAATAAGGGCGAAAATTCCAAAAATGAAAGGTAGGGACTTTTTGTGCTAATCACCTGCGTAATAGCATAAGACGTTCCTACGTTTGAGATTTATTGTGAAAAACGTTCCTACGTTTTTTTTGGTTGCATTTTCGCCCTTATTTCAACATTTCATTGCAGAAAACGTCATTTTCACCATTTTTTATTTTAATGTAAAATGATCAAAATATCCTCCTATTTAGATAAAACCGAAAAAGGAAAAGAAAAATAAAGAATAAATTGCAATCTTACTCCTAAATATTTCAAAAAGTACAAGTGAGTCCAAATAATTATTAAAAGGCCTAATAGTACAAAATATCCCTACATTTGGCCTGTAGTGTGTAAAACGTTCATACGTTTCAAATTCGTGACAATGAGGTTTTTCGCAATGAAATATGAAAATAGAGATGAAAATGCAAAAAAAAAATGGAAACGTAAGAACGTTTTCCGCAAGAAATGTCAAATGTAGGAATGTTTTGTGCTATTAAACCTTATTAAAATATTAAAAATAATAAAGAACTCTCTCTATCTCTTCTCTTCTCTAGTTCTCCAAATGGGACTGCCACCTTAGAAGTGTAAAAACTCTGACCAACCATCGTACAAATCGTCAAACCTCCATACCATGGCCGTCCCATTTGGAGAAGAAGAGAAGAGAAGAGAGAGAGGGGGGGGGGGGGGGTTTTTTTTTTTTTGTTATTTTTAATATTTTAATAAGGTCTAATAGCACAAAACGTCCATATGTTTGACACTTGCGGAAAACATCCTTACGTTTCAAATTATTTTTGCATTTCCATCTCTATTTCCACATTTCGTTGCGCAAAACATTATTTTCACCAATTCGAAACGTAGGGACGTTTTGCACACTACAAGCCAAACGTAGGGACGTTTTGTGCTATTAGGCATTTTAATAATTATTTGAATTTACTTGCACTTTTTAAAACATTTAGGAGTAAGATTGCATTTTATTTTTTATTTTTCTTTTCTTTTCTATTTTGGTTTTATTTAAATAAGAGGGTATTTGGTCATTTTACATTAAAAATGGTGAAAATGACTTTTTTACAATGAAACATTGAAATAAGGATGAAAATGCACAAAAAAATAAAAAAGAAACGTATGGACATTTTCGTAATAAGTGTCAAACGTAAGGACGTCTTGTGAATAAAAAAGAAACGTATGGACATTTTTGTAATAAGTGTCAAACGTAAGGACGTCTTGTGCTATTAACCATATTAAAAGTGTGAATTGTGGAGAAATTTTTGAATACCCACTTTACCCTTATATATTTAGTTATATGTCAATTTTATCCTTATATTTCATTTAGTACCATTTAATATAATTTAACTTCATTTAAAATCCATTTAAATGTAATGCTTATTTTTATATATTGGAGTACTTAAAATTTTACATAATCAAATTTAGTTTTATTACTTAAATTAGATTATTTAGATTAAGTTTACTACTTAAAATCAAAGGTCACACATATAGATGTAATTTAATTATAATTATATAATATAATATATTAAATGTTGCATTAACATAATGGTAGATTAATTACAATATAAATTATATTATAAAATGAGAGGAAAAGAGAATAGAGAAAACTCAATAAACTTTTTGTTTGTATTATTGAAAACCAAAACCCTATATTTATAGGTAAGAATCAGGGATACAATGGTAATAATTTCTAGGGCTACAGGGTACAAATGTCATTCATCAATAAACGTTAATGGACTTTTCATTTACAACACTCCCCCTTGAATGACATATTACAAAATATCTGCCTCGTTAAAATCTTGTTTGATAAAAACCCAATGGGAAAAAAAATCAAACGAAGGAAAAAGAGTACAGTTATTTTGGAGTATTAAAATGAAATGCTGCCTCATTAAAACCTTGCTAGGAAAACCCAATGGGACAAAACCTAAGCGAAGGAAAAAGAGTACAGTTACTCCCCCTGATGTTGATCACTGAAAATCTTTGAGTCGACGCATTACAATCTCATGAACTAATTTCTTGAATGTAGATGTTGGCAGCGCTTTTGTGAATAGATCAACCACATTGTCACTTGAACGAATTTGTTGAATATTAACGTCACAATTCTTCTGAAATTCATGTGTATGAAAGAATTTTGGAGAAATATGTTTCGTCCTGTCGCCTTTGATATAGCCTCCCTTGAGTTGTGCGATACAAGCTGCATTATCTTCAAATAAAATTGTTGGACTATCTTTTGTTGAAGTCAATCCACATGATGATTGGATATAATGGGTCATATTCCTCAACAATACACATTCTTGCCTTGCTTCATGGATTGCAATAATCTCAGAATGATTTGAGGATGTTGCTATCAAAGATTGCTTTACAGATCTCCATGATATAGCTGTTCCTCCACGTGTAAACATATATCCTGTTTGTGATTTAGCTTTATGTGGATCGGAGAGATAATCTGCATCTACATATCTCACTAAAGCAGATCCTGACTTTTGAAAATAAAACAGTCCCATATCAATAGTACCTTTTAGGTAACGAAAAATATGTTTAACACCATTCCAATGCCCTTTGAGTTCGTGTAGAGCTATATCTTGCAAGGAGATTTACAGAAAAAAGTTATGTCAGGTCGAGTGCAATTTGCAAGATAAGTTAATGCTCCAATTGCACTAAAGTATGGTACTTCAGGACCAAGAATCTTTTCTCCATCTTCAAGTGGACGAAATAGATCTTTTTTCACATCAAGTGATCGAACAACCATAGGTGATGGCAATGGATGTGCATTATCCATATAAAAGCGTTTCAAGACTTTTTCTGTATAAGTAGATTAATGAACAAATAATCCCTCTAGAAAATGTTCAATTTATAATCCAAGACAAAATTTGGTTTTCCCCAAATATTTCATCTCAAATTCATTTCTCAAATAATCTGCAGTTTTGTTAAGCTCTTCAAGAGTTTCAATTAAATTTAAATCATTAACATAAACTGCCACAATTGCAAATCCAATATTTGTTTTCTTTATGAAAACACATGGGCAGATAACGTCATTTTTATAGCCCTCTTTTAACAAATATTCGCTAAGACAAATATACCATATGCGTCCGGATTGTTTCAATCCATATAATGATTTTTGCATTATAATTGAGAACATAGTTCTCGGACATGTATCATTTATTCCTGACACCTTAAATCCTTTAGGGACTTTC